TGGAACGTGTGGTGGCAACACAACTCCAGGGATTTCTGGTAGACACTGATTATCTAGATCCGGCACAGTCTGACTTCCATGGAACGGAAACAGCCTTGGTCGCCTTGGTAGATGATCTGCGCAGGGAGCTAGACAGGGGGAGTGTGTCCCTGTTAGTTCTGCTGGACCTCTCAGCGGCCTTCGATACCGTCGATCACGGTATTCTTCTGGGACGCCTCACAGAGATGGGACTTGGGGGTACTGCTTTGCAGTGGCTCCGGTCCTTTCTTGAGGGACGGTCCCAGAAGGTGTTGCTGGGTGACACCTGTTCGGCTCCACAGCCGTTGTCATGTGGAGTCCCTCAGGGTTCAATTCTGTCCCCAATGTTGTTTAACATCTACATGAAGCCGCTGGGGGAGATCATTCGGAGTTTCGGACTGAAATGTTATCTCTACGCGGATGATGTTCAGATCTGTCACTCCTTTCCTCCTGTCACCAAGGAGGCTGTCCAGACCTTGAATCGGTGTTTAGCTGCTGCGTTGGACTGGATGAGAGCTAACAAATTGAAATTGAATCCAGACAAGACAGAGGTCCTACTGGTCAGTCGCAAGGCCGAACAGGGTATAGGGTTACAGCCTGTACTGGATGGGGTTACACTCCCCCTGAAGACGCAGGTTCGCAGCTTGGGAGTGATCCTGGACTCATCGCTGAGCCTGGAACCCCAGGTCTCAGCGGTGGCCGGGAGAGCTTTTGCGCAACTAAAACTTGTGCACCAGTTGCACCCGCACCTCGGGAAGTCTGATCTGGCCACAGTGGTCCATGCTCTTGTGACATCCCGTATAGACTACTGCAACACACTCTACGTGGGGTTGCCCTTGAAGACTGTTCGGAAACTCCAACTGGTCCAACGAGCGGCAGCTAGACTGCTACTGGAGCGACATACAGGGAACACACCACCCCCCTGTTATGTCAGCTCCACTGGCTGCCAATTCAGTTCCGAGCACAATTCAAGGTGCTGGTTTTGACCTACAAAANTAGACTACTGCAACGCACTCTACGTGGGGTTGCCCTTGAAGACTGTTCGGAAACTCCAACTGGTCCAATGAGTGGCAGCTAGACTGCTTACTGGAGCGACATACAGGGAACACACCACCCCCCTGCTTTGTCAGCTCCACTGGCTGCCGATTCAGTTCCGAGCACAATTCAAGGTGCTGGTTTTGACCTACAAAACCCTTTACGGTTCTGGTCCAGCGTATCTGTCCAAACGTATCTCCCTCTACGTCCCATCTCGGAATCTGAGATCATCTGGGGAGGCCCTGCTCACGACTCCACCGCTATCACAAGTGAGGCTGGTGGGGACGAGGAGCAGGGCCTTCTCAGTGGTGGCCCCCCATCTGTGGAACTCACTCCCGGGGGAAATCAGGGCTTCAACTTCCCTCCTTGCCATCAGGAGGAAGGTAAAGACCTGGCTCTGGGACCAGGCCTTTGGGCACCCTGACAATTAGACATGGAACCAGAATGATAGGACCAACAATGTGTGGAAAGCAGAACCTAACTATGAGTCGGTTAAACACTGACCAGCAATGAGGTTTGTATTGTTTTTATTGTTTTAATTGTTTTTACGGGTTTATGGCTATTCCTGCCAATAATATTGATTGTTTACGTTAATAACAGTGTTATAATTACTGTTGTTACTGATGTTATGTTTTTGATATTATGTTTTTGTAATACAGGCATCGAATTGTGCCTTGTGTGTGTAAGCCGCCTTGAGTCCCCCCGGGTGAGAAGGGCGGGGTATAAGCAACCGCAATAAATAAATAAATAAATAATAACTGCATAGAGTGCCATTACCTGCCACTGGAGCAGTACCTATTGATCTACTCACATTTGCATGTTTTTCAACTGCTAGGTTGGCAGAAGCTGGGGCTGACAGTGGAAGCTCATGCCACTCCCCGGATTTGAACCTGTGACTTTTTGGTCAACAAGCTCAGCAGTTTAACCCACTGTGCCACCGGGGGCTCCAACAACTGCAAGTAGTGCAGAATTAGTGTAATATAGTCTGGCTTCCTCACCTGAATGAACAGTTGAGTCATTGCAGTCTACATTTTAGATCACCATTAAAGGTCTTACCATTTAAAAAAGCAGTCCAGTATGACTATAACTAGTATTTACTTTTTTTCTAGATTTCTTTTTTCATGTCAGGAGCAACTTGAGAAACTGCAAGTTGCTTCTGGTGTGAGAGAATTGGCTGTCTGCAAGGACCTTGCCCATGGGACACCTGGATGTTTTGATGTTTTACCATCCTTGTGGGAGACTTCTCACATGTCCCCGCATGCAGAGCTGGAGCTGACAGAGGGAGCTCATCTGTGCTCTCCCTGGATTTGAACCTCCGACCTGTTGGTCTTCAGTCCTGCCGGCACAAGGGTTTGACCCAGGCATCCTTAAACTGTGGCCCTCCAGCTGTTTGGGCATTCAGCTCCCAGAATTCCTGACAACTGAGCAAACTCATTAAGGCTTCTGGGAGTTGGAGGCCCAAACAGCTAGAGAGCTGCAGTATGAGGATGCCTGGTTTAACCCATTGCACTACCAGGGGCTCCTTTTTTTCTAGGTAAGCTTACAAAGGTCATTCCTGGTCATCTCAGACAGATACTATGTTTCATCAGGTAGCACCAGGTTCAGAAAAACTCTTAAATTGCAAATGTTTATCTATGATCACTTTTAGGTTTATAAACACATTTTCTTAAAAATAACATCCCAAGTAATGGAACAGATGGAATTGAGACCATCACAAGCAGTGGAGAGGCTTAAATCTGACTTCTTTACTTGCACCTTTCTCTGGGCCTCAAATCCAATCCTCCCTTTTCCCCATCAGTATAGAGGGTCAAACATAAGGTGGGAAAGGCTTATATTGGTACTAATTATCCCCTGCAAATGTGCACCTACCCATGTTATATAATTAATATAGAAAAGACTTTGCATTATTGTGAAAAGGGGTTTTCTTTTTTTACTTCCCCAAAACCTATAGTTCATCAGTTTCACTAAGTAAATCTACTTCTAGTCGAGTGTTATGGTCAAAGGAAAGGGGGTTTCTCCCTATCCATTAATGTCTTCTGTTTCTAAAGAACAGGCTACAAATGTTCTCTCCATGGTGGTGCCTTTGACATAAATACCATACTTTCATTACAAAGTCAAAATTTCAACCATTTTACTTGGCGTTAGATATGCTCAAGTCCACACCTGTCAGAGAACACTTTCAACTGGTAGTTTGATCAGCAGTGCATCCAAACATTACAAGAGCTTTCCAATGTGGTGAACCTATTTGGGGAGAAGGGCCTCTTCAAAGTTCCTATTTAAATCCAGAGTCAATTCATTGCCCCTTATTGATATCAGAGGCATTAGCTTCCACTGACCGTGCAGCCCCCAAGTTTAAATAGCCATCCACTGATTTTGGAGTTTATAGTAGCTAAGAGGAGATTGGTGGGATTATTAGGCAACAGAAAAAAAGAAAATATTATGCATGCCTGTTATACTATGTTAGACATGTCTATTGTGCTTTTTAAATACTCACACTAGCGCCAGATTCTCCGGGTTCTCCAGGGCTGCCTTGAAATCCTTGAGGGCCCTGAAAGAAGATCACAAAGTAGACATCTTCAGTGGTCACCTTCTCCCTCCTTTACCGCATTTGTCCAAAATGAGAGATCATTCAAAAGAAAGGTACTTACAGGAGATCCTGGTGGTCCTGGGGGCCCTCGTGGTCCCATAGGTCCCTATTGGGGAAAACATTTTCAATAAGTTAGTATAATTACGGGAAGGGTCAAGTTTCAAGACAAGAGAGACATTTAGGCCTAGCTGCATGATTATTATGGAGCAGAACAAGGCTAATTCCGTGGCTTTTGCACTGACACAGCACCTTTCAATCTCTCTTTCTTCTATGCACCATCCAGGACTGTTTTTATTTATAGAAGTCATTCTGAGGTGAAAAAAAACCCCCACATATGCACTCACACTCGCTCTGTCTTGGAAACGGTCCATGTTTACTAAGCCTGGATTTCATTTACAGCTTGCCAAGAAATGCTAGAGAGCAGAAATTTCCTGCTGGAAGTCTTGTGGGATCTTGAAAAACAGTAGCTGCTGTCTCTTTGTATCCTCCAGCCCATGATCCAAGTGCAACAGCGACCCAGCCCCCTTAAACAAATCTCTCTGATACTTCTCTGTCTATAATCATCTGTTTCAACTGTTTTGGCACATGGGTCAGGAAGTTCTGGCAAGGGATGTAAAGGCCCAAAGCCATTCTTAAATAGCCAGCTTTCACATTAAAGCATTCTGTTTGATTGGCTTAAGCAATCTTGAAATGGCAAACTTTTTTAAAAAAAAGTTTAAATCAAATTAAAATTAATTGATTTATAATTAAATACAGTTTGAAACACCTTTGGTATGAAGCAAGGTGGAACTAATGTGAAGGATGGAGTCACTGTAGCTTCACATCAGGAAGGGATCTGGCCCTGTTGCTGGGATAATGAATGTGCAGCTCTCTTGATGTTGTGGGACTGCAAGTCCCATGATCCTTCAGCACCTGATATGTGGTTAGGACTAAGGCAGTGGTCCTCCCACAATTCCTAACAGCTGGTAAGATGACTGGGATTTTTGCGAGTTTAAGTCCAAAACAACTCGAGGTCCAAAGGTTAGGAACCACTGGATTAAGAGGAGTAAATCAATTGGCATCAGTGGAACTACATGGCTGATTGGCATTCATTTATTTACACAAACAAAGGATATAGATCCCCAATTAAACTGAGGTATGAAAATGCCGATCATTTCCGCTATCTTGGCAGCCACCTCTCCACCAAAGTCAACATTGACACCAAAAAACAACACCGCCTGAGCTCTGCGGGTGCAGCATTTTTCTGAATGAAGCAGAGAGTGTTTGAGGACTGGGACATCTGTAGGGATACTAAGGTGCTTGGTTATAAAGCTATTGTCCTCCCAACCCTGCTATATGCCTGCGAAACATGGACTATCTACAGACGTGACATGCAACTCCTGGAACGATTCCATCGGCGCTGCCTCCGGAAAATCCTGCAAAACTCTTGGGAAGACAAGCAGACAAATGTCAGCATGCTGGAAAAAGCAAAGACCACCAGCATTGAAGCGATGGTCCTCTGCCATCAATTCCGCTGGACCGGCCACATTGTCCGGATGCCTGACCACCGTCTCCCAGAGCAGTTGCTCTACTCTGAACTTAAGAACGGAAAACGGAACGTTGGTGGACAGGAAAAGAGATTTAAAGATGGGCTCAAAGCCAACCTTAAAAACTCTGGCATAGACACTGAGAACTGGGAAGCCTTGGCCTGTGAGCGCTCCAGCTGGAAGTCAGCTGTGACCAGCAGTGCTGCAGAATTTGAAGAGGCACGAATGGAGGGCAAAAGAGAGAAACGTGCCAAGAGGAAGGTGCGTCAAGCCAACCCCGACTGGGACCACCTTCCACCTGGAAACCAATGCCCTCACTGTGGGAGACGATGCAGATCAAGAATAGGACTCCACAGTCACCTACGGACCTACCCTGGAGGATTATCCTACCCGGACAATGAGGGCTCGCCTAAGTAAAGTAGTCAACTGGTGGTCAGAGTAGAATATATTTTATGTATGTCTCACTGGAGATCCTGCTGGATTGAAAAGCAGGATTAAAAATAGATAATACAGCATCAATGTAGCTTTTTCATGTGTGAAAATTTCACTTAGTAGGTAAAGGAATATAAACTGCATGTGGACTAAAAGCTAATCTGCATTGTTTCCTGTACGAAACTGCTCTTCTGATTGATAATAATATAAAAGTTCAGCTCTTTAAGGGAAAAGGCAAATGCTTTTCAACATCAAGAGTGGTTAATTCTCATCAAGTTGAAGGGACATACTACCCTAACACAAATACAGTCCAGCAGTCCAGCAGCAATACAGTCCAGCAGCAACTAAAGTGGACCCAAAATGCCAGTGAGGCTGCATCTCAAATATCCCATTCTACATAGAAATGATCAAACATTACACTAAAAAGACATGTTTGATTTCTTTTACCCACACAAACCAAAACCCTGCCACCATCCGCACATTTGATATATTATGTATATCTCAATAATATCAAATGTCAATATCAATAATATCAAATAGGCAACCAGAAGCACCAAGGGATAGATTCACAATTGGGCTAACCCATTTCAACATGTATATGGATGCTTGTATGAATGTTTCTAAATCTAAAATATTCCCAACACATGTTCACAGAAAGTTCTGCGATCACTTCCCACAAAGGCACATACTGACATGCTAGTTTTTGGATGTTTAAACATTGTTTTATGGAGGGGCACCCAGTGGCACACTTAGCCCAACATCAGCTATGTCTCACAAGGCTTCTCAGTCACAGAAGTAAGGACTCACATGAGGACTCAAGGGTAAACTAGAGGATTAAAACAAAATAATTTAGGACCCTTCCACTTATATCCCAGGATCTGATCCCAGGTTTTCTGTTTATTCCAGATTATCTCGCAGTGCAGACTCATTTAATCCAGTTTAAAGCAGAAAACCTGGGATCAGATCCTGGGATATAGAGCCTGTCTGGAAGGGCCCTAGAAGGACCCACACTGAGCTACCAGCCAACTGAGGACACACAAAGGCAGAACTGCACATCACACCTTCACTTGTTTTTCTTTGGAACCTAGTAGAAGAAAGGAGGTATTTTGCGCCTCTTTTCACAAGCTCCCTAATCTCTCTCTAATCCACATGATTTTGTCATATCTCCAGCCTCCCATGCGTGCACTGCCAGAAATGTATGCTCTGTCAGAGCAATATAGTGTCTTTGTCCTGGGTCATTAGACTTAGGATCACCGGAAACAAGCAAACTGAATACCTACTTAAAAGTAAACCCTGCATATAGCAACACATTTTACTCCAAAAGTAATGTTCAGAATTATTGCTCAGAAGTCTACTGAGCCTCATGTTCAAGATGGCTGAGCCATCTTAGCTTCCACAAGGGGTTGCACCATGGCCTAATTCCTTAGTGGTTTGCAATTCAAAGGAAAGCTTTTGGCAATGTATGGCTTACTGTTTAAATTCCAATTATGCTTGGCAACGAGTGATCACCTATGATGAGTGTTTTAAACTGGTTTTATAATCAGCTCCCCTCTTCAAGATGAGAATCATTCCAAAGGGTAGCAAAGGAGACTTTTACCATGACCACAAAACCAGCAAAAGACCCACCAGCACCATTCAATTGCATGGAAAAGGTCAGAGTTCTTGGTTTTTATCATTTGTCTTGCTCAGACTAGAAGATCTAATGAGCTGGATTCTCAACCTCGGAGCCTAAAACAGGCATGGGCAAACTTCGGCACTCCAGATGTTTTGGGCTTCAACTCTTGGGCTTCAACTCTTTCCAGCTGTTAGGAACTGTGGGAGTTGAAGTCTAAAACACCTGGACATCCAAAGTTTGTCTAGGCCTGCTTTAAATTCTGCATCCAGCACTATCTCCAGCTACCCTTAGTATTACAGTTCTGTGAATGGAGACAAACAACTTCTAAAATGGTATTCTTCACACTACCACACCAGAATTTCCAGGAATTCTTTGGTGAGGATTAAGCTAGTATAAAACCCAGAGTTTGGAAAAGTTACAATTTTGGACAACAACCTCCAGATTCCCTCAACCAGTGTGGGTATTTTTCCCAACTTAGAGACAACCATAATAAGTAGATCCAAGCTCATGCAACTGAGAAACTCCCCAGCTCCTTACCATAGGTCCTTGCATCACTCCCATCTGAGCACCGCCAGCTTTCTCATCAAATCCTCCAGCCATCTGAGCAGCAAAGTTCTATAAAGATAAATGGCAAAAAAGAACATACCCAGTTTCAGTGGAGAACATTTGCACAATGAGAAACAAAAGAATGCTTTTCAAAAGACCTGATTTCCCCTTAGTATCTGATGGGCAACTGTACCTATGTCACGGAGGAAGAAATTAGGACAAACTGTTTCTCTTTTTACACGTTTGCTCTCCTTAGGGCTCATATCTCCATGCAAATGTTTTATTGGGTAATATTGGTGGGTAGAGTATCATATGGATTTTAAAAGACAGGACTTTTCTAAGCAGCAAAGATTGCAGTTGACCATTCTAATGTTATGTTTCCTCATTTTCCACAATAGAACACAGGCAGGAGATCTATAGTGCTGTGCTACACACTTTCACAATAGCTGGTTGATCAGCTGCTTGAAGATATAAGAATATACGATATAAGAAGAGACAGTGTCTAGAATATAGGAATATACCAGAATATAGGGATACATTAGTACATAAAAGATACTATAGGGCGCTTGAAAGAATTAGAATATGTGGCTTTAAAACCGATGTTGGCAAATTGGACTTCACTCCAAGTCTTATGCATTTGAAAATGAACAGAACCACTTCCGTTTTGGACTACAACTCCACAAATTCTCTAGTAAACACAGGAGCTTTGGCCATAATATTTGACTTATGATAACCCCATCAATGAGGTACAGGAATAGGGTCATCAGCAGCCCTATTCAGAGATCCGATTTAATTGTCTGAATCTATCCATCTGTACTCAGTTTGTTTTTGCTGTGCACATATCCAGCAGTATGTATGTATGTATCATGTACATCTTCAATACTTTTTATTTAGGTAAAGGTAAAGGTTTCCCCTGGCATGGTCTAGTCATGTCCAATTCTGGTGGGATGTTGCTCATCTCCATTTCTAGACTGAAGAGCCGGCATTGTCTGTAGACACCTCCAAGGTCAAGTGGCCAGCATGCCTGCATGGAGGGCTGCTACCTTCCCACAGAAGCGGTACCCATTGATCTACTCACATTTGCTAGACTGGCAGAAGCTGGGCCTGACAGCGGGAGCTCACCCTGCTCTCCGAATTCGAACTGCCAACCTTTCAGTAAGCAAGTTCAGCAAGTCCAACAGCTCAGTGGTTTAACCTGCTGTGCCAACATTTGGGGCATGTTGTTTAGAAACATTGTGACTCACTGGATTGTGACTCACTGTGACTCACAGTGGAAATTAAATTATGTTAGGGGCCCTGAAAGATTAACTTAGGGAAATCTACTGATGATATCAATGTAATTTGCTGTCCAGATCAGCTAATCAACTGGCCAGTTAAAGAATTTGTCTCAGAATTAAAATCTGCTGATCTTTAGCTTATATTAAACATGAGACACAATGCTAGCTGTTGGACCCAGTGTATATAATTTTGACAGCTGAAAATTAATGTTTCATATATTTCATATATGAAAGGTCCACCAGACCGTAAACCTATACCAGCCAGTTGAATCTAAACAACTGGGTATGAATTTGGACTAGAGTTGATAAAAGGACTGTTTAGCTGAAATGTAACTTAGAGAGGAACCTACTGAAATTAGTTGGGTTTTTAATGTAAATATTCTATGCAATTTTTGGAAGTAGCATTTCACTTCTGTTTATTTAACATAGGTCCCTTCCACACAGTCATATAATCCAAAATATCAAGGCAAAAAATCCCACAATAACTGCTTTGAGCTGGATTATCTGATTTCCACACTGCTATATATTCCAGTTCAAAGCAGATAATGTGGGGTTTTATTCAACTGTGTGGAAGGGGCCTTAATGTCATAGATGTAGCATGTAGTGTTTCAGTTTATACTGCTGTAACCGTTCATCTTCTGCTAGTTGTACAAACATATATACTTCTTATTTTCTCTGTTTTTGTACAATCTAACTGTGGCTCAACGTAGTCTAAAATCTATATGTTAAATAATAATAATTTTAAAGGAAAATAATTCCATGCAACTTGGCCTACATCTTATTCACATGGGCAATGACCTATCCAGGTGTGACCCACTGTGATGCTCCTTTGTGGCTGCTCATGGTTAGGTTGGCTTGGGGAAAAGAAGAAATTGCAGTTTTCTGAAAAATATTATTCGTCATTGGTAGTACTCCTGTTGAAGATGATGATTTTATAAAACTGCATGTGTCTTTAAAATAGTATCCAAAAGCTGCTTTTTTAAAATGCAACATAAACTTGCATCTAAACAAATAAAGAGAGTCATACGTTTTTTGATTTCCATCACAAGTGTTTGGCTCTGAAGGCTTGGGATTTTTATCTAGCATGTTATATATACTGAAGTAACCCCCCCCCCCCCTTCCCGATCTCCAAGTTAGAACATCAGGAATTCTTGATAGGTTTGCTCAGTGAAAGAGCTCTTTTCATCACTTTCTGTAACCACACTTTGTGGTATGCAGGGACCGGGTGTGTGGGGATCAGGCTGAGCATACTTACTCCGCCAAGACCAGGGGGGCCTGGAGGGCCTGGGGGTCCAGGAGGGCCAGGGTTGCCAGGTGTACCAGGTTCGCCATCTCTGCCGCGGGGGCCAGGGGTACCCTGTTTAAGGTAAGCAAAAGGCACATTGTTAGCTATTATATCCATACTCCTAACTCTCAATTCCAACTAATTTAGAGTCATTGGTTGTTATACATATTTTCCTGCTCAAAAAATACATGTTTGTGTGTTTACATACAGTATATGCCTTCAAAATACTGCTGACTTATGGTAGCCCATAAATTTCATAGGCTTTTCTTAGGCATGGAGAAGGAGGTTTTGCCAGTTCCTTCCTTTGAAATATAGTCTATAGCATTGATATTCATTGATGGCCTGTCACCCAAGTATTGACCAGGGTCAACCCTGCTTGACTTCCAAGGATCAGATGGAACCTAGTGCTTTTATGCCATTTAGGCCATGTCTGTTTACTCAGTAAGTACCTACTATGTTCAGTGTAAAAAGATATAGATTTGCATCCTGTGAACATCCAGCATTTATTTCCCCCAATTTTTGACACTAGTATTAATGGCCTAGTCCTACAACATGGTGTATATAAAAGGCTCACACTGATATGCCAACAGCTACATAAGAATGAAATAATTTATTGTTGTATGCCTTTCCAACTTCAGCCAACCCTAAGGTGAACTAATCACAAGGTTTTATGGGACAAAGACTATCTGTCCCAAGGTAACTTAGTGGATTTTCATGGCTGAAAAGGGGATTCAAATCCTGTCATCCAATGCTCAAACCACTACATACGATGCAACAGTCCATGATTTGCAGAATTGCTATGGCACTAGGCATATCAAATGGGGGAAGTTTATGACTGGGGGGCAAGTAGAATGCAGAATAAGAAAGCATTGTAAGTTATCTGTCCCAATCCCTATGTATTTTTTTCTTACTGTGTGTATTGCTGTCATCGAATTGTGCCTTTTGTAAGCCGCCCTGAGTCCCCCTTCAGGGATTGAGAAGGGTGGGGTAGAAATGTTCAAAATAAAATTTAAAAAATAAATCCCCTGCTCAATGCAGAATTAGAGCATTTTTCAAAAGATTTCTTTATAGCCTTAGTTTGAAGTCTCCAAGCCTCAGGATCCTATCTACCCTTTCAGAAATATGTAAGTGCCCAATAAGGGAGAGCTCCCACTCAGCCCTGGAAAGTGACACACACTGTTAAGCAGTTTCTTCAAATGTTCCCCTGAAATCTATCCTTCCTATAGCATAAGACAAACAGGTCTGCCGACTATCCTTCTGGTCATCTGACAACCAATTGCAGCTGATGGTTTCCATGAGAATTGAACGTGTGCTCCAGGTTTTAGCCTGAATATGAAAGGAGCTGTCCAAAGTGCTGAACCTATGGGAATGGTAGGCTTCAATACCTCGGAGAGCTCATTTCAAGACAGAAAGCCAAAGTAAGTGCTGTTGTGTCTCTATTCAATAGCCATGCCTTCACTCTATTCTCATAGCATTTCCATCTTGGTTGCTTGACTCTACGTCTCTTGCTTTTTGTCTACCTGCATCCTTATTTAAGTACAGCATACAGAGCTGTACCTACTACTCTATATGAGAACTATGCTTCTTGTAAATTATGATTCTGTCAATACAATCTATAAATAGAAATTATTATGCTGTAACAAATATGTACTCCAGCCCAAAAATCTGAGATGCACAAGGATTTTTTGCCCATACAGTTGCATTCCACAGAGGTAACAAAGCTATGATTATGAAGAATGGCAACAAAGATCCTATTGCTTGAAATAGTTGCATAAAGAAATAACCTTAAATGAATGGACATATCAGAAGCTGTGTACTCGCAGAATACTCAGCTAAAGTGACTATAGGATCTTCTATGCCTTGCCTTTATGGATTCCCTCACCGAGTCACCTAAGGTCAACAAGCTTCGTAAACAAGCAATAAGTCAGAAAAGGTTTTTCAAAAAGGGAAGTGAGTTATTGTTTCTGTGGTCCAGAAATAACAATAAAAACGTGTGGCTAGTAGCTCAGTTTTATAGACATGAAACCCCAATGTATTTCTATATTTGATTGAAAACTAGAGTAGGTTTTAATCTCATGGAGTATTTATTTGCTATTTTATTTTTTATTTATTTATTTACTTTATTTATATTCCACTCTTCTAACCCTTGTAGGGGACACAGACCAGCATACAAACAAACAGTACTTTGCTGTCTAAGGTTTTGATTGCCATTCCTAAAAGTAAAGAGCAGTGCTGTTGGTCTATGCTTTTAATATTGTTGAGTAACACTTTAAAAATGTTTGTTATTTGGTAACATTTACTACATGGGATTTTTTTCTTATAGTATTTCCTCGGGGAACCTAAGGTCCTTTCTAAATTGCCATATTATAATCCAGATGATTAAAGTAGATAATAAGAATTATCTACTTTGACTGGATTATATGAGTCTACACTGCTATATAATCCAGTTCAAAGCATACAATCTGGACTTTCTACAGCAGTGTAGAAGGGGCCTTAGATGACACAGATGCTTCTTTTCACCATCTCTATATTTTCTTGCTCATAAATAACCCATGAGATCAACCTGTAAGTTTCCCAGATGTCTGATATCTGAACCTGGGTCTTCCCAGTGTCTTTCCGGATTCAGCAAATTAGCTCTGACCTGGGTGGGTGCACTTAATTTTTTTTAATGACATTTCAGTGTTTTTCTTCAAGTAGGTACACCAGCTACCAAGTGAGTTGTGTTAATTTATCTTCATGTCATGCCAAGTTGTATTGTTACCAGAAGTAATGCATAATGTAGGTCAGCTAAAGGACCTGCCTTAAAGAGATGGTGGGGAGGATGTTAGCCTGATAGACTCAGTTTCTCATGCCATGCGACTCTATGCATGTTTATTCAGAAGTTACATCCTGCTGTGTTCAGTAGGCCTTACTGCTAAATAAACAAGCACAGGAGTGCAGCTTTCATCCCGTGGATAGAATGTGAATGAGTACATGTGAATGAGGGGGAAAGGAAAGCTCCTCTTACTTTTTCTCCTTTATCTCCACGTTCTCCTCTTGGTCCTTGTTCACCAGAAGGTCCCTGCAGCAGGTAAGGACAGAGGACCCAGTTAAATATTCTCAAGTGGTTTGGTAAAGATTCTTCTTCTCCAAATTATTTAAATAATGTGAGGCAGAGGGAGCTTGCTTCTTACCTGTGGTCCAGGGGGGCCTCTTGGTCCTACAACCTGGTGAAGAAAGAGAAAAAGAGAAGTACACATTAAGCACGTTGAAGCACACCATATACTAATAGCTTTCAGTGGTTATGGAAGATCAAGGGATGCAGCAAGCTTGAGACTTACATCTTTAATATCACCGGGTTCTCCTTTTTGTCCCTGTAAAATGCAAAATATACAGAGTTTTAAAAAAAGTCACCAAAGCTAAGGAAGTATGTACAGATATATTAACACATTAACCTCTATTTGGTGTCACTGCTTAAATACCGTGCTTAGAGGGAAGGATACTTGAAAAGGTGGGAAGCATTCCAGTCCCGATTTTGCAAAACTGGAATGCATAACCTCAACCTAAAACATGAATAGTCTTATTGAAGTCAATGGAAGTATTCATTGGTCTTACATTCAGCCAATGTTTCAGCTTTTTCATTAGACTTGGAATGAGGATGCTGTTCAAATTTCACACCCAAGAGACAGCTCAATTCTACATTGCTGGAACTATCTGTCTGTTAACTCTTACAAATGGGTCCCCTCTTGTTCTTCGCAAAAATCTGAAAATTATAAATATGGGTAGCCAGAGACTAGTAGAGATGCCAATTGCCCTGCTCCTGTGGCTTTAAAGGACTCTTGATTGACAAGGAGCAATCTGTAAAGTAGACATGGGCAAACTTTGGCCCTCCAGGTGTTTTGGACTTCAACCCCCACAATTCCTAACAGCCTACCAGCTGTTAGGAATTGTGGAAGTCCAAAACACCTGGAGGGCCAAAGTTTGCCCACACTTGCTGTAAAACCTTTGGAGATGCAGTGGTAATGAAGTAATAACACCATGCTAATGTTGACTCTTATTTTCCAACCTTTTCAAGCCAGAAATTCCAAGGTGGGGTAAAACAAAACAGAAATAAGCACGTCTCCAAGGCATTTTGTTGCTAAAAGGCCAAGGATAGTGTTTCTCAGACTCTGGCCTTCCAGGTATTTTGGGGTCCATTTACATTCTATAATTTCATTTGGCACCATTTAAACTACCATGACTCAATTCTATGGAATCATGGGAGCTCTCATTTTGCAAGTTATCAAACAGCTGCCATGATTCTATTGTAGTGGTTCTCAACTTGTGCATCCTTGGGTATGTTGGCCTACAACTCCCAGAAATCCCAGCCAGTTTACCAGCTGTTGGGATTTCTGGGAGTTGAAGGCCAAAACATATGGGGACCCACAGGTTGAGAACCACTGATCTATACCCATGTTAAAGAGGTGTCAAGCTGCATTAATTCTACAGTGTAGATGTAGCTCTAGACCAGTGGTTCTCAACCTGTGGGTCCTCAGGTTTTTGGCCTACAACTCCCAGAGATCCCAACCAGTTTACCAGCTGTTAGGATTTCTGGGAGTTGAAGGCCAAAACATCTGGGGACCCACAGGTTGAGAACCACTGCTGTAGACTTTATATCCAGAAGGCCTAGGCATCTTTGGCATTCTGGGAACTGATGTCCAACTGAAAAACCAAAGTTTGGAAACCAATGGCCTTGGAGAGTGAGTATCTAACAAAGCTGGTAGCTTTGGAAAGGCAATAACAAAATAATGATTATTAGCAGCATTCAGATGTCTCACCTTAGGTCCAGGTTGCCCTGTTAAGATCAAGGGAGGAAGAGAGGAAAAAAAGAAAATGTCAGCATTCCATTGCAAGTAAATGATACAAGCACTGCAGAATACAAATACCATTACCTGTTCGCACAATAAGGAACACACAACACAATAAAGAACACACGAACAAGACAGGGGGAGCAGGATAGGAAGACCAGGAAGAAACAATAACCAGATGTTGGTAATTAGGAGAAGCTTTGCTTTCCTGAGCTAAGACTCTCTGCTGTGTCGGAGATGATGCTGCCCCAAGAAAATGAGGTGCAGAGAATTTTTACCTTCATGGGGATGCACAAGGTCCCATGCAAAGAGATAAAAGCAGGGAAGCACAGTATTATCATTCTAAGCCATCCATAGCAGGTCCAAAGCCATACGGCAGCAGGCTTGTCAATTTAATTCCATTCTGTCCCACAGGAATGCTTGCTCCATTTACCAAAGCATCAGTACACATTTTGGGTTGCAATCCTGTGTACAGGTACATATGCCTAAGGCTGGACTCCTATGCACATGTAGTTGGAACTAAGTCCCATGAAACTCAAGGGGACTTGCTTCCAAAGAAGCCTTTAAAGGATTGGGCTGCAAGTCCCACAGACTGAGTTGGATGGGCTGCAAATTTAAGTCTTAATATTTAATAAATTGGCCCTTTTTTTTAAGCCACAACTCAGTTGGACACGGAGCCAATCAGACATTGATAGATTCATCTGTTAAGCACTAGAACTGCATACAGGAAGAAGCAACTTTAGGGGATGTTTTAAGGTAAGCGTGACACAAAACACAAAGGTTAAAAGCCACATTCAGCATAAGAGCATACAAACATGCACAGAATCATGATAAACATTTGCAAGTCTCAACTCTTTACTCATTCTGGCTTTCCCGTGGTTTCATTGTATATATATATTTAAAAATCTCAGAAGCCTCAAAGGCAGCCAGAATAGGTTAAAGAGTTTTAAAAGGCCACTTCATCTAATTGTAACACAACTCCTCAGCTAGAACTAAAAAAGCCAATACAGTGTTACCAAGAAGCAAGAACTTGAATGAATGTTGGATGCCTTCCTTACACCCTTGGCCTAAAATCTGCAAACCCTGTGTGGACATGTCCTGGGCAATGCTTTGGAGTATCTAAGATATGAAAACAAGGCCTGGTGTCATGTTCTCTCAAGCCCAAATTTTGACCTCTTGGCTCAAAGAGAGAGGTTTGTTATGAAATTCTTAGTGCCAAAGGCCTTTATAAATAGAGGGAACCCAATATATTTTCTGCCAAAATTGTATGCAATTTTACTATGAGTGGGTTGACCAAAAAGGAGAATATTCCTCCAATATTCTCACCACCCAAAACCTACATATGGAGAGGTGAACCAGTGGTCAGCCAGATGTTGGATTAGCCTATTATGAAGAAGCTGCTCAAGCCATCAATTCCAACATCTGGAATAAAATACTTTTTTGGAAGTAGGAAACCCAGAATTTCCTAGAAAGCATGGGGCATTGAGAGTTGCTATTCTAAGAGCAACTTTCCAAAAACTAGAGATTTCTCTCTTCTACCTTACAGTTTGTAAACTTTTTCACATCTTTGATCACTGTATTGTGAAGACACTACAGGCAGTCCCCTAGTTAGGAACAAAATAGGTTCTATCTAAGTTGGATTTGTATGTAAATCACAACAGGTATATTTTAAGTGTAAACTCCAGCCATTCATATATATATATATATATATATATATATATATATATATATATATATACACACACACACACACACATACATACAGCTGGAGTTTACACTTAAAATATACCTTAAAATATACTTAGATAGAACCTATCTTATCCAACTTAGATAGAAATCCAACTTAAATAGAACCTCTCTCTCTCTCTCTCTCTCTCTCTCTCTCTCTCTCTCTATATATATATATATATATATATATATATATATATATATATATATATATATATATATATATATATATATATATATATAAATAGCATAGGGAAGGGTTAACACCCCTGTGGTATTTGTTTTGCTGCCCGTGCCCCTGTTCAGAAGATTTCACCCCCTTTCTTTCTCTGTGACAATTGGATTTTGAAAAATTTGGCTTGTTGTGGAAACAAGGATTTCTGAGAAAGCTTCAATGGAGATACCTTTTCCCCTTGATAACTCTTTCGGAAATGAATTTCCCTTCCTGTGGGTAGATTTCTCTCACTTCCTGTTGTCTCACCCCCTGTTCTTAACTATTAGTCATTTGTAAATTGGATTTTTATAACTTGGGGACTGCCTGTACTCAAACCTAATGAAATCTAAGGGCAACCCAGAAAAGGTAAAGCATGCCCAAAGCACACTGATATTAATGGAATTTAAGGAACTGACTAGTTTATTCAATACCATTGAACTCAGGTGTGCTATTCTTGAAATAGCTGTTGGGGAACTCTGAACATTTTAATATATTCTTATGAATACTGTGATCACTTTTTTCTGGCTGGCAACCACTGGCTGCAATCTGCACATATTTGGACATGTTCCACTGATTTCAGTGAAGCTTTATTTTCATCGAATTGTTTAGAATGGGGCCACTCATCCTTAAAAGAGCCCTTTACGAGGAAAGGTTTTGCCATTTGGTTAAGATTTAATTAGGCCTTTCAGTCTCAAAGGGACTGTAAATGAACTGCTCTTATCAAGCTCACCCTATAATTTCTGACAGGGAAATCACAGTTACATGCTATATAGCGAGGAAATTCACAGTAACATATACTTAGCACTGTGAAATCTCTGCTCGTTTCCGCAGTTTAAGAAAAAATATATACTGGGGAATACGATTGGACAGTTGTGATAGAAGGGCACAGAAGACAACTTGATTAAAGGATTGCATTTACTATGTCTGGGTAATTAATGGAGATCAGATTCATGATCTGTCACTTGGCAGATTATTTGGGCAAGCAAAAAAAAAAACCTTCTAGACCAAACACAGGGAATCCCCAGAAATAGCTGCCATTTTTTTTCCCTTTCAGGCCATCAATGTACTCCTAAAAGGCTAATATTTGTGTAACTAAGTCTCATTTTGCAAACTGCTTCGTAAAGCCGAGATATGTTAATAGCCCCTCAATAATGCTGCACCTCTGCTTTCCTTATATATTGGCTCAGTGACGATGTTACATTGCACTTTTCTGCAACCACCCAGTTCCATTAACCATGAGAAGTAGCCTTTCCTAGCAATAGCCATTCCATGGATGTCACAGGTCCAGCATTTCGCATCCATGGATCTCATCCCTCCTTGCCCCCTCCCCAACCCCGCGACTGTTAACTCACAAGTAATTTATTTATATGGAAAGGAAATAAATAAATTACGACCACTGGTGGTAGGCTGGTCAGTTGGACAGATGGGGCAACATTCTCCGAAGGGGATCTCGGGGTTAGGACAATCTCTCATTTCTTCGCAGAGTATGTCATCGCAGAGGACCGTCCCAGTGTCACAGACACAAATCCGGCAGGGTTCGGGTTTCCATACATCTTTATCACTATACCTCTGCCCATCCTGTACACAGCTGCCTGCCTCCTCTGTGCCGGAAGGGCAAGGGGAAGGGGAGAACAGTGGGGAATAAAAGGAAGCAAAAAAAAACCAGAAGAGGGGGAGAGAGAAAGAAACAGGGTCATAACAGCAGCACTGGTTACAGCAATCCTGTATAATAAGTACCCAAAGATGGACACACTCACGCCCCTCTTACCACAGGCAGGCTTCATCCAAGAACACCTCTCTGTTTTCCTCGAAGTTATGAGGATATTTTTGGCAAATTGTCATCCACAAGCAGAATGAAAAGGCCTTTAGTTAACTGTTCCCTCCTCTCCCCAGCTCGAACACAGAAACTCCTCTCAGGTTTCATCATAATGAGGCAAAGGGATGTTGTGGAGGCTCAAAATGGACTTTTCATCGTGAATCAGGGCACACAATACATTCCTGTACACTCTGGCCTGGTTTCATCTCCAAATTAAACCTCTGAGGTAAAGGATGGAGTAAATGCCTTCTTGTGAGGTAAGTACTACACTGTGAGGTAAATACTACTGTTAGGTAAGGTATCACTTATACCTTACCAGGTAGAAAAAGTGGCCATGCTGCCAGTGCCTTTAGTGGTTGTGTAAAAGGTAAAGGTAAAATGTTTTCCCCTGACATTAAGTCCAGTCGTGTCTGACTCTGGGATGTGGTGCTCATCTCAATTTCTAAGCTGAAGAGCCAGCATTGTCCGTAGACACTTCCAAGGTCATGTGGCCAGCATGACTGCATGGAGCGCTGTTACCTTCCCACCAGAGCGGTACCTATTGATCTACTCACATTTGCATGTTTTTGAACTGCTAGGTTGGGGCTGACAGCGGAAGCTTATACCACTCCCCGAATTCGAACCTGCGACCTTTAGGTCAACAAGTTTAGCAGCTCAGTGCTTTAACCCACTGCACCACCAGTTGTGGTTGTGTAGAAGAAGGAATTTCAGAAGGTGTTGTTTGTCATGCAACTGGGGATCAATCATCACCCACTGAAATTATCTCTTCTTCACAAAGTATATCAGTCCTTTTCAGTGTTCATTCTGGCAATCCTAGAGCCCTTCCAAAGAGGCCCTATATCCCAGGATCTGATCCCAAGTTTTCTGCTTATCCCAGATTATCTGGCAGTGCAGACTCATATAATCCAGTTTAAAGCAGAAAACCTGGGTCATATCTGGGATATAGGACCTGTCTGGAAGGGCCCCTAGTTATTTGCGAGTTAAGGGCAAGTCTGTTACTGGGTAGTATAGAGTGCATTGGAGAATTAATCCAGTTAGTCACCACTTTAGCTACAGTGGCGCAATGCAATGGAATCATGGGAGTTATTTTTAAGGTTCTGTGCCAAAGAGAGCTGGTGCCTCACCAAACTACAAATCCAGGATCCCAGAGAATTGAATCACGGCAGCTAAAGTGGTATAGAGCCACTCATAGTTGGTGTGGGTCTGTTACAACAAAACACATGTTGCCAAAAGCACTACTTTGCTTCAGGCACATCATTTTCTGAGCATCTAGAAATTTTAGCCCCTTCTTGGGATCTTCTTTGGCATTGTTAACCTCAAAAGCAAAAATGGTTGACTTGGAGAAACCAAGAACCACCGCACAATCCCTTCAGCAAACTTTCATTTGAGCACCTTGCCTGGTGGTTCACCCTCTCTCCACAAGGGTCCCAGAAGGACATGCATCTCATCTTACATACCTGTCACTGGACTGAACTGGAAGCACTTGTGCTAAAAATTGCAGCCCATAAAAGCCACTTCTTGAAAAGGCCAAAGCAGAGAGCAATGATATACCAGAACAAATTGTTGATCTACCTTGTATTTTCTAACCAGTTATCAGAGCTGACTGAGAATTATGAGGACTAACATCCTCCCTAAAGGTGGATCTACACTATAGAATTAATGCAGTTTGACACCACTTTAACTTCAATGGAATCAAGGGAATTACAGTTTTACAAGGTCTTTAGTCTTCTCTGCTTAAGAGTGCAGATGCTTCAACAAACTACAACTTCCCAGAATCCCAAAGCATTGTGCCATGGGCATTAAGTGGTGTCAAACTGCAGTAATTCTATGGTGCAAATGCACCTTCACTCTCCCAATCACTTTGCACTCATTTCTGGATCCTGGCTCACTCCCATATGTGGGTCAAAAGATGGGGTGCTGTCCCACTATTTTTTTAAAAGGGTTGCAAATCAAACCAAGGGCAGCTCAGTGAACCTACTTCCACTATGTGAGGGTGGATGGATTGAAACTAGAAAGGCAGAGAAAGTAAATAGACTTTGGTGCTCTAATCAGGAGAGCCGACAAAGTTTGTCTCCTATTATTACCGTTAAATAGGAATGATTCTTGGTGGAGAAGGGGTCAGGAGAAACCCATTAAAATGGTGCCCCTTTGGCACACGTTCCCCCCACTTTCTTTTTCAAAAAACGTCCTTGGGAAGCCTTGACAGCATCAGCAATATGACAGGGGGGCCATTGTGCAGAGGGGCAGGGGAGCCTGCGGGAGCCCAAGGGACCCATCCACTCATGAATGGGCCTTTTTTCGAGTGCACACAGAGCGCAATTCACATGGCTCTGTTAGGGACTAGTTTAAATAAATATGGGCAGCATTTCAGCATCTGGAAGCTATTGCTGCCAAATGCAAACAAACACTCATAGAGCAGGGCTTGAGCTCAATCCCTGACCTGGGAGAACACTTTTTCCTTTGAAAAAAAAAAGACATAAAAGACAAGACTCCCCAAAGATGCATTAGGATGAGAGTCATTGGAAAGCAGCAGTAGATGCCAATGTGTGTCTCTCTCTGGCTAAAAAGAATGCAAAATGATGCCTTAAAGAGTTATTCACAGTAATGAATAGAGTGATAAACTCTCCCTGACTCATTTGAAGCCACACACACACACTTCCATGTCACACACCTCTGAAGTCCAAGGATGCAGTGTTTCAGCACAAATTGCAATAGACAATTATGTGAAAGTCTTCAGGAATGGTGTACATGAGCAAACTTTGGCCCTCCAGGTGTTTTGGACTTCAACTCCCACAATTCCTAACAACCAGTAGGCTGTTAGGAATTGTGGGAGTTGGGGTCCAAAACACCGAAGCCCATCCCTGGTGTACATACTGATGTGCAACTGGGCAAAGTCTTTTAAAGAGAAGAGATAGAAAAGGACCTGGCTAGAGATGGGCATCACAAGCACTAGTGTTTTCAGTGGAAACTGGAGATAGCTCCTGTACTTTGAATGGTTGTGTAGACAAGGGGATTTCATTGTGTACTTTTTGTCGCACTGCCAGGATACAAACAACACCTGTTGAAATTCCCTCTTCTACACAACCACAGAAGGTACAAGAGCTCTCTCCAGTTTTCACTGGCATTGCCAAAGACTTGCTTCCCAGTGAGAAATGTGTGAATGTGTAGGTAATCCTTCCTCCTTGTTTGGAAGATTGTATGGAGGGATTCAGAGGTCATCACTTACCACTTTTAACCCTCCCTCCCATGGTTTCCTAAGGCCTCTTCCATACAGCGGAATAAACTCCCACATTATCTGCTTTGAACTGGAATATATGGCAGTGTAGTCTCAGATAGCTCAGTTCAAAACAGATACTAAAAGTAAAAATTTTCCCTTAACAATAAGTCTAGTTGTGTCCGACTCTGGGGGGTGATGCTCATCTCCATTTCTAAGCCAAAGAGCCAGCATTGTTCGTAGATGTCTCCAAGATTATGTGGCCAGCATGACTGCATGGAGTGGTCACCTTCCTGCAGAAGCGGTACCTATTGATCTACTATGTTTAGGTTGGCAGAAGCTGCGGCTAACAACGAGAGCTCACCCTGCTCCCTGGATTCAAACCACTAACCTTTCAGTCAGCAAGTTCAGTTGCTCAGTGGTTTGACCCACTGTGCCACCAGGGACTCCCCACTGCGCCAAAGCAGATATTGTAGGGTTTTCTGCCTTGATATTCTGGGTTATATGACTGTGTGGAAGGGCCCTAAGACATCTATCTCATATTTCTTTCTTTCTTTCTTTCCACTCCAAATTCATTCAGGGAAGGAAAATAGAAGAGCTACCCAGTGTCTTCTGCTTAGTAGCAGTAAGGGATTTCCATCTGGAAACACCAGCTGGGCCCATTTCTCCTGGGTGCTACTCCTGAGCCATACTGAATGCAAGGCCCCTTTGGTCACTCACTCTGAGAAATCCAGCGGCAGAGATTCCTGCAGATGAATGAAAGGAATTCAGCTCCCTTTTCCCTGGAATTTTGAGCCAAGAGAGAATAGCATGGCTTGTGATCAGCAGCAAAGCGTGGCCTCCCCCCACTCGCATCCTATTTGCAAGCTCCCTCCCCAGCAATTGATTTACAGTCTGGAGCATATGGAGGCAGAGATGGAATTCAAGGAATAGGAAACCTGCCCAAAGGAGTGAAGAGAGAGAGAAATACCCAAAAAAGCCATTCAGCTCTTTCTACCCTAATAAAGTTTCCATCCCTGAACAATATCCCAGACAACAAAAACTTCTGGCCAGAGGGAAAGGACAGGCTTGCTATACATTTGCCTCATTTTTTGTATCAAATTTAGTAATGGCAAAATTTTCAATCAATTAATTATTTTCTTCCCCATCCTTCTTTTATTTTTGGATAATTTGCAGTCAAGAGACTAAGATATTGCTCACTACTCTGTTTGGAAGGGTTTCCCCCAACCAGCCTTGGTTTCTATGTGTAAGAGCGCACTGTGTGCACATGGAGAGGGTGAATAGAGAGAAGAACAAATGGACTGATGTGCCTCTGGAATGCTTTGCACCCCTCAGATGGCCTCTTGGGTCGGGGGGGGGGGGGGAAATGCCCCCTTCTGCTCCTTCCACAGAGTGAGCAGCAGCAGCAACAACAACAACAAAAAAGACCTGTTAGCTATCAAACTCCCAAGAGATCTCCATCTGCACCTTACTCCACATCTCCAACTACACTGGGAAAGATTGTGTGCACAAAGATCTCCTTTTGTCTTAATTTAATTTGTCTTTAAAGTCAAACCAGTCTTCCTTGTCTGCACTGGGGAATGCACCCTTTTGTCTGGTTCCCCTTTTGAACACCCCTCCATTCCACTCCATTAACTCTTTTGCTGCTGCCACAAACCGGGAGTGTTATTTCATCCTTTCCTTTCTCTTCAGTATGTTTTTTTCTCTCTCTTTGCCCCAGAAAAAATAAATAAAAGAACTTTCCTGGACAACCTTGGAGTGGTTTAGCCTCTCTTTAAGGCCTCTTCCACACAGCGGTATAAAATCCACATTGAACTGGATTATATGGCTATGTGGACTCAGATAAAACAGTTCAAAGCAGATATTGCGGATGATCTGCCTTAATGTTCTGGGTTATATGGCTGTGTGCAAGAGCCCTAAGAAACCTTATCCCCATATTGTTTGCCCCACTCTCAGACTGGTTCTGCAAAGCCATATAATCCAGATTATCAAAGCATCATCTGATTTGAACTGGATATGAGTCCACACTGCCATATAATCCATTTCAAGGCAAAGAATCTGGGTTTTATGTGGCAATGTAGATCCAGTCACGGACCCTTCCACACAGCCATATAACTCAGAATAGGAAGACAGAGTATCCACAGTATTGGCTTTGAATTGGATTATATGAGTCTACACTGCCATATAATGCACTTCAAGGCAAAGAATCTGAATTTTATGTGGCAATGTAGATCCAGCCACAGGGCCCTTCCGCACAGCCATATAAGTCAGAATAGGAAGACAGAGGATCCACAGTATTGGCTTTGAATTGGATTATATGAGACTACGCTGCCATATAATTCATTTCAAGGCAGAGAATCTGGATTTTATGTGGCAATGTAGATCCAGCCACAGAGCCCTTCCACACAGCCATATAACCTAGAATATCAAGACAGATGATTCAAAATATTGGCTTTGAACTGGATTATATGAGTCTGCACTGCTATATAATACATTTCAAGGCAGAGAATCTGGATTTTATGTGGCAATGTAGATCCAACCACAGGGTCCTTCCGCGCAGAATATAAATGCAGATGATTCAGAATATTGGCTTTGAACTGGATTATATGAGTCTACACTGCCATATAATGCATTTCAAGGCAGAGAATCTGGATTTTATGTGGCAATGTAGATCCAACCACAGGGCCCTTCCACACAAAATATAAAGGCAGGTGATTCAGAATATTGGCTTTGAACTGGATTATATAAGTCTACACTACCATATAATGCATTTCAAGGAAGATAATCTGGATTTTATGTGGCAATGTAGATCCAGCCACAGGGCCCTTCCACACAGCCATATAATTCAGAATATCAAGACAGAGGATCCACAATATCTGCTTTGAACAGGTTTATCTGAGTCCACACTGCCATATAATCCAGTTCAATGTGGATTTTATACAGGTGTGTGGAAGGAGGCTCTGAAGACCAAAGCGATACAAAACTGGGGTTGTATTAGTCCATCTCTTTCTTCTCAAGGAAGCAAGCATTGCAATGAATAGGAAAGAGCCTTCCCAAACAAAACATATTAATGGAGAGAGGCAGATTTGATGGGAAAGAAAGGACCCTGAGCACTGCAAGAAGAGAAATAAGGAAACCAAGGAGGGAAAGGTTAACAGAGGGCCCTTCCACACAGCCATATAACCCAGAATATCAAGGCAGAATAACCCAGACTTGGGTTATCTGAGGCCCCTTCCACATAGTTGAATAAAATCCCCAATTATCTGCTCTGAAGTGGAATAGATGGATGAGTGGACTCTGACAACCCAGTTCAAAGCAGATATTGTGGGATTTTCTGATTTTCTGGGATACAGGGCTGTGGGGAAGGGTCCTGAGTCCACTTTCCCATATATCCCAGAATATATTGGGAGGAGGGGGCTCAGCTGTGTGGAAAGGGCCAGAGAAACTAAGCCTAAAATCCAAGTAAACAAAACCACACTAGAAAGCAAGCTTGGTGTTCTGACCATTCCTCTTCTTCATTTCCCACCCTTTCAAGAGGAGGAGGAGGAGGAGGAGGGAGAAAGGCGCCCCAAACTTACGTATATCCTCATCCTGACATTGGACCACTGCTAATAAAACGACCTGAGCGGCTGCCAGGAGCACTAGAGTCCTTGAATCCACACGGCGAAACATGTCTAAATGTTAGACATGCAGGGCCTTAGTGGGACGAGGCAGGAGGAGGAAGAGGAAGAGTGGTGGTGGTGGTGGTTTCCCCAGGGGCTACCGAGCCTTCATGCAGCCGGTCCTGCCTTGACTTTGGAAACAGGAGGAAGATCCCAAGGCACCCCCAAAGGCCCAGCCGCTGCGTTGCTCGGGGCTCAGGCGGCTTTATGCTCCCGGCTCCCTTCCCGCAGCCCGAGTATATGCCCAGGTCGCAGCCCCCCGCCTTCAGCCATCCCTCCATCCCTCCCTCCTGCCCCCACCCCCCAAGAAGAGCTGTAACCTGAGCCCACCGAAGAGAGAGAGCCCTCCCTCCTGGCCCCACAGCCTGAAAGCCCGGCAGCCCAAACGGGTGGCGATTGGGGCAGAAGGAGGATCACACATCCCCCCCTCCTCTTCCCCATCTCCCTCCTCCTCCTCCTTCACCCCACATCCAAGCCCCTCCCGATGCGATCCTTCCAAGCCATCCCTCCTCAAAGCCAGAAGGAACCACAAGGCAAGGCATCGGGAGAACTTGGTGCGCTTTTTCGCACCTGCCTCAATCTAAAACCCGACTTCTTCACAACCGGAGCTGGGTGCTTGACCCAAACCAAGGACCTCGCTTTCTCTCCTGGCAGCCATCCTCAGAGGTTGGGAGGTCTGCTAGAAAGTAGGCAAGGGAGGTTTCTATATCTGTGGAATAATGTCCAGGGTGGGAGAAAAAACTCTTGTCTGTTGGAGGCAAGTGTGAATGTTGCAATTAATCACCCGAAAAGCCTTGCAGCTTCAAAGCCTGGCTGATTTCTGCTTGGGGGAATCCTTTGTTGGGACGACACGCCGAAAACGGGAATTCCAGGCATGAAACAACCAGGGCCAGCTAACACCTCCCAACAAAGGATTCCCCCAGGCTAGGCATGTAATGGGGGTTGGCTTGAGGGGCTTCAGCCCCCCCCCCCCAAAAAAAATTCTCATGGTAGTCAGCGAGAAGGCCTTACTGGTACATTATTTAAACTGTTATGTTTATTCATATCATGATCTGATCACCTTGCTCAATATATCCCATATGCATGGGGGTATTGGGGTAATGATACAAAAGGTTTGCTAGGGCAGACCCTCTTTCAAACTCAGCCCCCCCCCCGCCCCAATCAAAATCCTGGCTATGGGCTTGCCCCAGGCAGCAAGCGGCCAGGCTTTGAAGCTGCAAGGCTTTTTGATACTAGTCATGGTGATTAATTGCAATACTCTCACTTATTTATTTATTTATTTATTTAATTTCCGATATTTCTATCCCATTCCTTCTCAACCCCTGAAGGAAGACTCAGCAGGGCTTACATTTGGCAGCAATTTGATACCACTACATGTAACAGAGCAATATAATAACAATTAAAACAATAAGTAAAGCATTCATTAAACAGTCAAAACAATATTAATAGCCGTAACATCCAGGCCTGTAGCCGGGGGGGGGGGGTGTTAGGGGTTCAACCCCCCCCCCCCCGAAAATTTTCAGGTTAAAAAAAGGCCTGGTTTACTCATGAATTTTAACTGGTTAACCAAATCCCCATGCTGTCTATGAGACACAAAAAATTAAGAGTCCCTCCAGAACTGCAAGCACTATCTCAAGTGAACATTAACAATTTATTCACACGGTCATTACTTGCGGCAATAGCCGATTGTAGCGAAGCAACCAAGTTGGGGGGCGGGTGTTGAATGATCTCATTAAGGAGGCCAGACTTGGTGGAGGTGGTTGACAGGGGTGGAGCTGCAGGCTATTGAAGGCTGCTCTGCCCCTTGCTGTGCTCTTTGCTTCAGCATGAGCTAAGAGGCAGGTTTCAACCCCCCTCCCAAAAATTTTCAACCCTCCCCCTCCAAAATTTTCAAAACTACCCCCCCACCCGAAATTTTCAACCCTTCCCGAATTTTTTTTCTGGCTACGGGCCTGACCACTACATATAACTGAGCAATATAATAACAATTAAAACAATAAGTAAAGCATTCATTAAAGCAGCCAAAACAATATTAATAGCCGTAACATCATTCCAGTAAATTCCATATCCAGTTCCATGTCCAAAGTGCTATCTATGTCTGTTGTCCAAAAGCCTGGTCCCAGAACCACGACTTCAATTTCTTCCTAAAAGACAGGAGGGATGGAACTGATCATACCTCAGTGAGAAGCGAATTCCACATGCGGGGGCCACTAGCTGAGAAGGCCCTGTCTCTCATCCCCGCCAGACGTATTTGTGACGCTGGCGGGAGCAAGAGCAGGGCCTCCCTAGATGATCTTAAACTGTGAGGCAGGACGTAGGGGGACAAGTGAGCTGGGCCAGACGAGAGTTCTTTCCCCCACCCTGGACATTATTCCACAAATATATAAACCCCACTTGCCTAGTTTCCAACAGACCTCACAACCTCTGAGAATGCTTGCCATAGATGTGGGCGAAACGTCAGAAGAGAATGCTTCTGGAACATGGCCATACAGCAGTGGAAAACTCACACCAAGAAAATCCTTCAGGTGAATCAACCCCCCCCCCCCCCCCCCCCCCCCCCCCCCCCCCCCCCAACCCCAGTTTGTCCTTGAAATGTTCCCCTTTGGAGCTCTCTTCCTTTCCTGCCAGCCTTGGCCTCCAGTGAGCCCCTTCCCAGGAGGTTTCCAAGATGGTCTTCCTTTGGGATGTTGTGAGTTTTTTCAGGCTGTATGGCCATGTTACAGTAGCATTCTCTTTCCTTTTTATCCCTTTCTTTTTCTGTTTTTCCTTCTTTCCTCCCTTTCTCCCCTTCAGCCTTTCTCCTTCCCTTCCTTTCTCTCATTCTTCTCCCTTCTTCTCTCTTCCTCTTTCTTCCTCTTCTCCTTTCTCCCTCTCTATCTCTCTTCCTCCCCTTCCTTCAAGCCCAACTCTTGGGAGCTTAACATGGTCAGCCTAGGGCCCTTCCACACAGCCCTGTATCCCAGAATATCAAGGCTGGTTCAGATAATCCAGTTCAAAGCAGATACTGTGGGATTTTCTGCCTTGATATTCTGGGTTATATGGCTGTGTGTGTGGAAGGGCCCCTGGTTAGCACTTGAATGGGAAACCGCCAATGAACCAAGTGCTGTTGGCTAGATTTCAGAAAAAGGAACTGACCAAACTACCTCTGAGCATCCCTTGCCTAAGATAACCTTATGAAATTCATGGAATGGTCGATTTTGAAGCTAATTTGGATCCCCCCCCCCCCCCCAATAGTGGTAGAGCCGCTTTGCTAACGCTGCGATAGGCGACTGGCGGAACCATTGTATAGCGCGTGGGGGGAGGGCGAGTTGTGTTGTGCGCACGCGCAGGTCGTCTGGCCGGGCTCTGGCGCGTGGCTGGAGCGTGGCGCCTCAAGGCGGGAAGAGGTGAACTTGAAGGCTTTTGCAGGCAGAGGAGGAATCCCTTAGTCGGGAAAAATGACGTTATTAGCACGAAGGGACTTTCTGTAGAAAAAAAGCCCACTCCTTGAACAGAAGGGAGGCAGCAGGAAAGATATAAGACAAGAAGTGTATCTCTACACTGAAGAATTAATGCAGTTTGACCCCACTTTGACTGGAGAAGAGCAAACCACAGAATACTTACTACAATGCAGTCTGAACCCTGCCACATGCACAATTTGTTGTTGTGTTTATTTGTTCAGTTGCTTCCGACTCTTCGTGACCTCATGGACCAGTCCACGCCAGAACTCCCTGTCGGCCTTCACCACCCCCAGCTCCTTCAGAGTCAAGCCATTCACTTCAAGGATAACATTCATCCATCTCAGTAGCGACCTGAGAAACTGCAAGTCACTTCTGGTGTGAGAGAATTGGCCGTCTGCAAGGACGTTGCCCAGGGGACGCCCGGATGATTTGATGTTTTATCATCCTTGTGGGAGGCTTCTCTCATGTCCCCGCATGAGGAGCTGGAGCTGATAGAGGGAGCTCATCCGCCTCTCCCAGGATTCGAACCTGCGACCTGTCAGTCTTCAGTCCTGCCGGCACAGGGGTTTAACCCACGCCACCAGGGGCTCCTACTTCAAGGATGCCATCCATCCATCTTGCCCTTGGTCGGCCCTCTTCCTTTTTCCTTCCATTTTCCCCAGCATCATTGTCTTCTCTAAGCTTTCCTTTCTTCTCATGATGTAGCCAAAGTACTTCATCTTGGCCTCTACTATCCTTCCCTCCAATGAACAGTCGGGCTTTATTTCCTGAAGTATGGACTGGTTGGATCTTCTCGCGGTCCAAGGCACTCTCAGAACTTTCCTCCAGCACCACAGTTCAAAAGCATCTATCTTCCTTCGCTCAGCCTTCCCTAAGGTCCAGCTCTCACATCCGTAGGTGACTATGGGGAATACCATTGCTTTAACTATGCAGATCTTCGTTGCCAGTGTGATGTCTCTACTCTTCACTGTTTTATCGAGATTGGTCATTGCTCTCCTCCCAAGAAGTAAGTGTCTCCTGATTTCCTGGCTGCAGTCTGCGTCTACAGTAATCTTTGCACCTAGAAATACCAAGTCTGTCACGGCCTCCATGTTTTCTCCTTCTATTTCCCAGTTGTCAATCATTCTTGTTGCCATAATCTTGGGTTTTTTTATGTTTAGCTGCAACCCAGCTTTTGCACTTTTTTCTCTCACCTTGGTTAGAAGGCTCTTCAGCTCCTCCTTACTTTTGGCCATCAGAGTGGTGTCATCTGCATATCTAAGGTTGTTAATGTTTCTTCCAGCAATTTTCACCACAGCCTTGCATTCCTCAAGCCCCGCACATCGCATGACGTGTTCTGCATACAAGTTGAATAGGTTGGGTGAGAGTATACAACCCTGCCGTACGCCTTTCCCAATCTTGAACCAGTCTGTTGTTCCGTGGTCAGTTCTTACTGTTGCTACTTGGTCCTTATACAGATTCCTCAGGAGAGAGACAAGGTGAATTGGTATGCCCATACCACCAAGAACTTGCCACAATTTATTATGATCCACACAGTCAAAGGCTATAGAGTAGTCAATGAAACAGAAATAGATGTTTTTCTGAAACTCCCTGCCTTTCTCCATTATCCAATGGATATTGGCAATTTGGTCTCTCATTCCTCTGCCTTTTCTAAACCCAGCTTGTACATCTGGCAACTCTCGCTCCATGTCGTGCTGGAGTCTTCCTTGCAGGATCTTGAGCATTACCTTATTGACATGAGAAATAAGGACCACTGTACAGAAGTTTGAGCCACATGCACAATAGAGGACCTTTTTACAGCCACACCAGAGGCA